TCAAGATTGTTTTGGCTACGCAAAATCCCCTGAGATTCCATATGAATGGTAGGATGGGTTTTTCTCTCTGACATGTGTGTCATAGGTTTGCCATCACTGGGCTAGGAGGTCAGCAGTACAGCACTCGGCCGGGGGACTAGGTAACAAGCCCTCTTAATTTAAAAAAATATATATATTTATTGATTTCAAAGAGGAAAGGAGAGGGAGGGAGAGAGAAACATCAATGATGAGAGGGAATCATTGATCAGCTGCCTCCTGCACTCTCCACACTGGGGATGGAGCCAGCAACCCAGGCATGTGCCCTGACGGGGAATTGAACCGTGACCTCTTGGTTCATAGGTCGATGCTCAACCACTGAACCACACCAGCCAGGCAACAAGCCCTTTTGAACCCTGGAAACAGTGAGGAGGATGCTGGGGGTCCCACTGCCTGTGAGATGGGAGTGGGAGAGGATTCTATTTAGATCTCAGAGGCCAGGGCCTCCCCAGCTGTTGTACGGGTCACGGACGAGGCACTTTGTCATGGGCAGACCAAGTCGGGGGCCAGGCCACGGGAGGGAGGCCTGGCAGGCGTGGCGCGTGGGGAGGGGCAATGGGGCTGCGCGTCTGGTGACTGGCTGTGGTGGCTACAGGACACCTCCTCAGCCCTATGCCCCTCCCTGGGGAGACACTGCCACCTTCTGGCTCTTTGCTAACAGACTGCTCTGCCCCATCGTTTTATTTTTTTTAATTGATTTTTTTTAAAAAAAATATATTTTTAATTGATTTCAGAGAGGAAGGGAGAGGGAGAGATAGATACAAACATCAATGAGGAGAGAGAATCACTGATCAGCTGCCTCCCGCACGCTCCAACCAGCGATTGAGCCCACAACCCAGGCATGTGCCCTCAGGGTTCATAGGTCGATGCTCAACCACTGAGCTATGCTGGCCGGGTTAATTGACTTTTTTATAGAGAGAGAGGAAGGGGGGGGGAGCGGGGGAGAGAGAGAGAGATAGATAGAGAGAGAGAGAGAGAGAGAGAGAGAGAGAGATCCACTTGTTGTTCCACTTATTTATGCATTCATTGGTTGATTCTTGGAGATCAAACTCAAAACCTCAGCATATTGGGACGACACTCTAACCAATGGAGCTACCTGGCCTCGCCATGTCTCACCTTGAGAAGAGCTTCCTCCTGGCCAGGAACTTTCTCCCTTACCTGCTTATATTCCTATCAGCCTGGGCCCCACCCAAGTCACCTTCCATAGTTTGGCTGATCCCAACCATTTCAATGCTTTGGTCTCCGCCTACTGATGGCTTAACACCACTGACACCCTAATCCAGGGGTGGGCAAACTTTTTGACTCGAGGGCCACAATGGGTTCTTACACTGGACCGGAGGGCCGGAACAAAAGCATGGATGGAGTGTTTGTGTGAACTAATATAAATTCAAAGTAAACATCATTACATAAAAGGGTACGGCCTTTTTTTTTTTTTTTCAGTTTTATCCACTTCAAATGGGGCCCCTCCGGCCGGCTGGGGGCAGGGCCTCACTGTGGACAGCCAGAGCTGCCTGAGGCCACAGGGCTGCTTCTGTCCTTGTCCATTGTTTCTTTGTTTGATGGTTGGTTGGCTTTTTGTTTTTGTCTTTTTTCTGGGAATCCTCTGTTCCTCCCAACTATTGTTCCCTTTTTTTAAAAATATTTTATTGATTTTTTACAGAGAGGAAGGGAGAGAGATAGAGAGCCAGAAACATCCATGAGAGAAACATTGATCAGCTGCCTCCTGCACATCTCCCACCGGGGATGTGCCCGCAACCCAGGTACATGCCCCTGACCGGAATCGAACCTGGGACCCTTCAGTCCGCAGGCCGACGCCCTATCCACTGAGCCAAACCGGTTTCAGCTATTGTTCCCTTTTAAGCATGCTTGCTTGGCCCCTGTAACCAGTATGTACATCCAAAATATCACAGGGGTTTTCTCCCTTTCCTTCTACAGGGCGCTACCTCTCTCTTTCTCTCTCTCATGACCTGAACGGTGAGCAACGTTCCTGCTACCCCCCACCCTACCCACCAAGAATCACTCTGACCTGGCCCAGGCCCCTTGTTAGAGTCTCAGACTCAGTGCTGGAACCCACGTTTCCCGCACCTGCCAGCAGGCATCACTGAAGACCCAGCGCTTCACCGTGTGGTCTTCCCACACCCGAGGCCCAAGCACGGAAGTGAACTGGCGCTACCATGTGGACTGGTGTCCAGCCTTCGGCTCTGAAGATGCTGCCCTGCCCTTGTCCGGGGAGGTGGTTCGTCCTGTGGATTCACCTGGGGGTTCTGGGGGAGAGGCCGGGCTGCTGGGTGCAGTCCATCCACACCTGCTGCTTGTCCTCCGCGGCCCCCCTCCCTGGCTTGAAGGCCCTCTCAACCGCTTTCCCCCCTCTGCACAGGCAGACCCGTCACTGGGCACCCCAGCAGCGCAGTCCCTCCTTCCTTGTCCACCCCCCACCCCGACCCCGTGCGTCTTGCTTTCTGCTTGGGTCGGAGCACCATAGAGGCTCCCATAAGATCACTGCCCGCAGGAGGCCCAGGGCCACGCAGCTGAGCCAGAGGCTGGGTGGCAGGGCGTTCAGAGGGCTCGCCTGCCTTTCCACCCCACACGTGGCCATCAGACAGTCTGGGAAGGGGTGCTCCCCTCTGGACCCCTGGGGTTGCTAAGGGCCCCTGACACTGACCCAGGACCTCCGAAGCCGCCCATACCCACAAATCCCAGCGGCAAGGGTAGGCAGGAGCCCTTTTGTTCTCAAAGTGCTCTGGGGGGTGGGTGTGAGTAATGGGGAGGCCTAGCAGAGGGGGCCTCCGTGGGAGTTGGGAGGAGCCACCCTCTGTTCGTGACTGCGCCCTGACTGTCAGACCTGCAAGGACCAGGTTCTCCCAACATCCCTTACCCTCCCCCCCCACTGCCAACTGCCTCCACTTGCCACCCCCTTTTTGGAATTGTGTGCGAGCCGTTCTCCACACACCACTCTGCTGCCCCTTTCACAGTGAGCCTCACTGAAAAGCCTGCGATGGTTTCCCACGGATCCCGGAATAATGGCCAGGCCTCCTTGCCAGGCCTCCAAGGCCCATGGGAACCAGCCCTTGCCCGCTCCTCTGAGCCCAGCACGTCTCCCTCTGCCCTGGCTCACCGCACTCCGGACACACGGATCTTCTCCGGCGTCTGGCATCAAGCCTGTTTCTGCCCCAGGCCCTTTGCACGTGTCCCCTGGGCCAGCCCCTTGTCATTTGGTTTGCAGCTCAGAAGTCAACCTCCCCGGACGGTTCCGAGCTGGAGTCGGTTCCCCTGTCCTGGATGCTCTGTCCATCCTCGCACCATTTTATTTTCTTCTCCACGCAGATCCCTTGGTGAGGCTTCAGGGCCCGTCCCTGGCATGGGCCCCTTCCAAGGCTCAGTACCTAATTCTGTATTCTTTTCTTTAAATGGCACCCCCCTGCCTGGCCGACCCAACTGTGTGAGCTTCAGGCCCCACAGAATCTAAATCCATTTGTACCCAGAGCACAGGACCAGGCTGCATCTGGTACGTCCTGTGCCTGCCTCTGGCAGGAAGAAACTCAGCATTCCTCCCACCAGGCTATTTTGACAGGCCCCTGGCCTCCCCGTCTCTTCAGATCTGGGCGCCAAGAGGCAGCCTTGGCCAGAAATCTTGGTAACTGCTCTGCTCACTGTGCCCTGAATTCAACACGGGGCGGGGGATGTACAGACAGACCCTGAGAGCCGCTGGTTTGTCCTTCTCCCTTCTGCAGGCCCCCTGCCTTGATTTCCCCAAATAGACATAAACATTCTCAGTCAACAACCGTAGCACCTAAAACTACTCACAGAGGGACCTGGCCAGGTAGTTCAGTTGATTAAAATGTCATCCCAAATACACCGAAATTCTGGGTTTGATTCCTGGTCAAGGCACATACAAGAATCAACCAGTAAGCCCTGACCAGTGTGACTCAGTTGATTAGAGCGTCAATCCATACACCAAAGGTCATGGGTTCGATTCCCAGTCAGGGCACATGCCTGGGTTTTGGGTTCAATCCCCAGTAGGGGCACAAACAAGAGGCAATCAATCAATGTTTCTCTCTCACACTGATGTTTCTCTCTCTCTCCCTCTCTCCCTCACCCTTCCTCTCTCTCTCTGAAATCAATTAAATACACACACACACATATCCTTGGGTGAGGATTATAAAAAAAAAAAGAAAAAGGAATCAACCAGTGAATGCATGAATAAGTGGAACAACAAATTAATCTTTCTCTCTCACTTCTTTCTAACTCTCTAAAATCAATAAATATTAGCCCGGCCAGCGTAGCTCAATGGTTGAGGGTCGACTTATGAACCAGGAGGTCACAGTTCGATTCCTGATCAGGGCACCTACCCGGGTTGCAGGCTCGATCCCCAGCAGTGGGTGGGCAGGAGGCAGCCGATCAATGACTCATTCTCATCATGGATGTTTCTATCTCTCCCTCTCCCTTCCTCTCTGAAATCAACAAAAAATATATATTGAAGTAAATAAATAAATATTTTAATAAAAAGAAACCGCTCGGTGAAGAAACAGAAAGGCCAAGGCTTCTGCAGACTCTTCCCTCTCCAAGCTTTTCTGCAAAGCTCGTCCTTATGCCTAGCACCTACCTTCGCCCTGGCCAGCTTGGGCAAGTATTGGGCAGCCCGGGTTAACTCTCGCTCTGCCTTGCCCTCGGCAGGCGTGGCTAAGTGGTCACAGAACTCTTTCTAGGTGGCTCCTCTGTACCCACTGCCAGAGGTCAGAGAGGAAAGCTGCTTGCCTCCTCGTGAAACTCGGGTCTGAATTATTGAAGCGCTAAATCAGGTTCCCGGGCAGAGGGCCAGTGCTTGCCACGAATTCCTACAACGCGGCCGGGTCCAGGGAGGCCAATGCCAAAGCTGTCTTTTCTGTTTGACCAAGTAAGGGGAGGCTTTCGGAGACCACGGCACCTTGTGGGGCAGCCCGTGACACAGCGGAAAAATTGCTGACCTGGCTCCGGAAGTCCAAGACGGAGGGCTGGCCGGCTCCGTGTCTGGTGAGAGCCCTTTCCCAGGTTGCAGGCAGCTGACATCTCCGAGTAACCTTCCAGGCTGGGGAGAGATCGAGTCACCTCCATGTAGCTTTTATTGGGGGGCCATGGGGAGCTGTCCTTTGAAGCTGGAGCGAGTGTCACCTCCTGGTGGCAAAAGCAATAAAGAAAGGAGAGGATGAGAGAGCTTAATGGCTACAGGTATAACCAGCGTCCACAAAGACGTCTAAGGATTCGGCTTCTGGGGCAATGACACCGGAGGGGGCTGTCTCACTCATTTGTATTACTCCCTTCTTCCGTTGTTGTCTTGGCAACCTCCCTGACCTGTTCTCCCAAACTGGGTGTTACAGACTCCACCAAACTACTCCATCCCGGCCACTCTCCGCCCCTACTTATCAGAGGCCACAGAGGCCACCGGGCTGCGACCGTCTCAGCCCCCTCAGCCCCGGAGAGGGGGTGAATGTTCTCAGTCTGCAGCTTGGACCCCTCAGCGTGTGGGCTCAGCCACCTCCCTCCATCACTCTCCCCTCTCACTGGCACCTTCAGCCTCACCTCTGCCAGCTCTCTTTAGTCAGCATATCAACTTGCTAAGGGTATTCCCAGCTTATAAAGACAAAACAAGATGAAAAACCTCACCTAAAACCCACCCTGGTCAGCTGGCTCAGGTCGTTGGAGCATCACCCTGTACACCATAAAGTTGTGGGTCTCTCTCTCTCTCTCTCTCTTTCTCTCTCTCTCTCTCTCCTAAATCTAAAACTCAACAAAATTCTAGTGGGTGTGGCTCAGATTTTGAGTGTTGACCCAGGAACTCAGAGGTCACCAGTTGGACTCCCGGTCAGGGCACATGCCCAGGTTGGGGGCGTGCAAGAGGCAGCCGGTTGATGTTTCTCTCTCATGGATGTTTCTATCTCTCTTCCTCTCACTTCCTCTCTTGCTAAAATCAATAAAAACATTTTAAAAAAAAGAATAGTACCTACTTTGCCCTGGCCAGGTAGCTCAGTTGGTTAGAGAGCATGGTCCTGCTACACCAAGGTTGTGGGTTTGATCCCTAGTCAGGACACATACAAGAATCAACCAATGCACAATGCAGTAGAACAATAAATCAATGTCTGTCTGTCTGTCTCTCTCTCTCAAAAAAATCAGCGTGTGGGCTCAGCCACCTCCCTCCATCACCTCCTCTCTCACTGACACCTTCAGCCTCACCTCTGCCAGCTCCCTTTAGTCAGCATATCAATTTGCGAAGGGTATTTCCAGCTTATAAAGACAAAACAAGACGAAAAACCTCACCTAAAACCCACCCTGGGCAGGTGGCTCAGGTTGTTGGATCGTCACCTGGTACTCCAAAAGGTTGTGGGTCTCTCTCTCTCTCTCTCTCTCTCTCCCCTAAATCTAAAAATCAACAAAATTCTAGCTGGGTGTGGCTCAGATTTTGAGTGCGGACCCAGGAACTCAGAGGTCACCAGTTGGACTCCCGGTCAGGGCACATGCCCAGGTTGGGGGCATGCAAGAGGCAGCCGGTTGATGTTTCTCTCTCATCGATGTTTCTATCTCTCTTCCTCTCACTTCCTCTCTCTCTAAAATCAATAAAAACATTAAAAAAAAAAAAGAATAGTACCTACTTTGCCCTGGCCAGGTAGCTCAGTTGGTTAGAGAGCATGGTCCTGCTACACCAAGGTTGTGGGTTCGATCCCTAGTCAGGACACATACAAGAATCAACCAATGCATAACTAAGTAGAACAATAAATCAATGCCCCTCCCCCTCTCAAAAAAAAATAAAATAAAAAATAAAAAGAGCCCTAGCCGGTTTGGCTCAGTGGATAGAGCGTCGGCCTAAGGACTGAAGGGTCCCAGGTTCGATTCCGGTCAAGGGCATGTACCTTGGTTGCGGGCACATCCCCAGTAGGGGGGGTACAGGAGGCAGCAGATAGGTGTTTCTCTCTAATCGATATTTCTAACTCTCTATCCCTCTCCCTTCCTCTCTGTAAAAAAAATCAATGAAATATATATTTTTTAAAAAGAATAGTACATACTTCATAGGACTGTTATGACACTGAAGTGGGTTAATTCTAGAGCAAGTACCCCATGCATGTCACCCTCAACATTACGACTATCTCTGGTGTTTGCAAGGGGAGAGCAGCAACGAGAGAAGTGAGGTTACACGGAGGAGCGGTCATTTGGATCCAGGTCTGAAACATGTGAGGGCAGAGGACTGTGGGGTCCCTCCTCACCTGAGACCACAGATGTCCTGGGGCCGAGAGCCCAGGAGCCGGCCGCTCCTCCCCGGCGGCGGCCGCTCTCCTCTGGCCACGTGGATGCCCTTGGGAGCACCTGATGTGGCCCGGCACTGGCTGCGCTCGCTGCTGCGGGTGCACGTCCTGGGCACTCCTGACATAGTCTGTCCTGAAGTGGGGGCAGCTGCCGGTGGCTCGGCATGAAAACAGCTTCGAGCCAGGGAGGGGAAAGGTCACCTTTTGGGCTGTGTCCAGGGGGAGGGGACACAGTCACCAGGGGAACAAGCGCTGGCCCTCACAAAGGACACTGGGCCCGTCCTGAGCACCTGTCCAGTGGCCAGGCCCTAAACCAAACATGAAGGCCATTTGTGTGTCAGGATGGGCTCTGGGAGGGGACCGGTAGCTAATTCAGCGGCAGGAGAGGGCTTGTCCAGGCTCATGGAGCCGATGGTTGTTACACTGTCAGGAATTTTGCAAGCCAGCTGTTAGACACAGCCATTATTATAATAAAAAATCCCACACAAGTTATATGAACTTACAATGAAATACATTATATTAAAAGACTCAAAAGTTGCCCTAACTGGTTTGGCTCAGTGGATAGAGCATCGGCCTGCAGACTGAAGGGTCCCAGGTTCGATTCCGGTCAAGGGCATGTACCTTGGTGTCGGGCACATCCCCAGGAGGGGGCGTGCAGGAGGCAGCTGATCGATGTTTCTCTCTCATCAATGTTTCTCACTCTCTATCCCTCTCTCTCCCTCTCTGTAAAAAATCAATAAAATATATATTTTTTAAAAAGACTCAAAAGTCACCATTTCCAGGTTAAAAAGGTGCCGGGATTAAGCAGAAAAAACAAACAAGGAAACTCATAGGCAGACAATAGGATGGTGATTACCAGAGGAGAATGGGGGGGGCGGTGAATGTGCGTGTGCGTATGTGTGTGTGTCTGTGTGTGTGTGTGTTATAGTTCAGTAAAAGGTTAAAAAAAGTGAAGGTAAAATTGAACAATCTGAGATGGAGAAACTTGATTCCTCAGTCCTTTGTTGAAAGACCCGTTAGGCGATGCCCTGCAGTTTTTAGGAAGTTGGACCCAGGAGGCAGGAGGGGAATGCAAGGCATGATGCTGAGCTAAGCAAGGGCGAGGGCCAACGTCTTGATGAATCTACTTGATAAACAAATGAAGGGCCTCAGAAAACCCAGGGGAACTAAATTACTGGGGAATGGTAACATGAAAGCTCAGAGAGAAGGAATCGGAGAGAAGTCATCTAAGCTTTTCATATATATATTTATTTTTAAATATATTTTTATTGATTTCAGAGAGGAAGGGAGAGGGGAGAGAGAGAGAGAGAAACAGCAATGATGTGAGAGAATCATGGATCGGCTGCCTCCTGCAGGCTGCACACTGGGGATCGAGCCCACAACCTGGGCATGTGCCCTTGACCAGAATCAAATCCGGGAATCTTTAGTCCGCAGGCTGACGCTCTATCCACTGAGCCAAACCAGCTAGGGCAAAGTTTCTCATATTTTTCAGAGTTTTTAACTTTGAAAAGTCAAGCTGAGAATTTCATTTCTAATCAAGCAGAAATAGAATGGATAATTTCCAGCGCACGCCCCTCCCACCCGCCTCCCAGGTACATGCTCTTGCCTTTCCCTTCTCCCTCTTCTTCCCTCTCAGGCATGCATCCCCTAAACTCTAAGGGTCTCCACCAGCCTTGTAACCATGGGAGCAATGGGCTAACCCCCAAACCTGGCCCCAAGGCCCCCTTTTCTCTGACTTCTCAGTGAGCCAAAGCAGCCCTGCCTAGGCTCTCTCTCTCCTGTAGCTTCTTCTATCCTGAGCCCTTCCTTGTTATACTGTCCCCAGCTTTAATAAATGTACTCTCAAAAAGGAAAAAAAGAAAGAAACAGAAAAAGAAAGAATGTATAATTTCCAAATCACTAAATGGGGTGAGGGAGATTAAAGACATCTTAATTGCTCCAATACAAAACGAAAAAGGGCCCTGGCCAGCTAGCTCAGCGGGTTAGAGCATCATCCTGGTACACCAAGGTTGCAGGTTCGATCCCGGGCAGGGCATAGACATCGACCAATGAATGCATGAATAGGTGGAACAACAAATTGATGCTTCTCTCTCTCTTTTCCCCTCTCTCTAAAATCAAGAAACATATCCCTGAGTGAGGAATAAATAAATAACATAAAAACAAATATTCTGATTTTAAAAATATTGCCAAGAAAAGAAACCTAGCTTCAAGCCTACGTTATAAAAGCAAAGAGAAAATTGATTGGTTTTCTGCTCACTTATCATGTTTAGGAACATTACAAGAGTGTGGCAGCTTGCCCTAGCCTGTTTGGCTCAATGGATAGAGCATCTGCCTGCGGACCAAAGGGTCCCAGGTTCAATTCCGGTCCAGGGCACTTACCTTGGTTTCAGGCCTCTCCCCGGCTCGGGCCCTCTGGTCAGGACGCATGCAGGAGGCAACTAATGAATGTGTTTCTCTCACATCGATGTTTCTCTGCCTTTCACTCTATCTCTCTCTCCCACTCTCTCTAAAAATCAATGGAAAAATATCCTCGGGTGAGGATTAACAAAAAGAGTGTGTCAGATCCCAGGGAGCACAGCTATGCTCTCTCTGTGCCAAACATTTCATGCACTGTCCCCGGGCGTGGAAATAGCTGGCTGACTGTATGTGCTCCCCACTGGTTCTCCCACAAACAGCCACATGGCTGTCACCTTGTTCTTTCCTCCCGTGGGAAGCAGTGATGCATTCGTGCAGGAAGTTACCACGTCTCTTTCCCCCACGAAGATCCGGACCCACTATTCCTCTTTATCGCTTACATCGAAGCAGCCACGGCCGCCCAAGACGCAGCAAACCTTACATCCACGGGGACGCGCTCCTCGCAAAACATCTTAACCTTATCTTCATAACTGGGCAGCTCATCTCTGCCCAAGGTCATGAGGTCCATTCAGGAGCAGTTTCTGGTTTCTCTTTTTGGAACTTTTCTAATTCTGGATCATTCTCATGTCTGTTAGTTTCCAGGAAAGGACTCAGCGCCTGAGCAGCTGCTCCAGGTGGACCGGGCAGCCAGCTCTGGGCCACGGGGCCACCTCAGGTCGTCCTGGGACTTGTCCACGTATCAGGCCTGCACCATGGCCAGGACCAGGGGTGGATCTGGGCAAGGTGGGCACCGCTAGCTCAGGGGCCCCTGATCTGCGTGAGTGTGGGCCCAGGTGGCCTTTTTATCCTGGGCCTCAAGGTGGCTCTGACCAGAACACTATTCCCTGGCCTCCGTTTCCTGGTTGCTGAGACTTAGGTGTGGCCCTATCCAGGGTGAGTGTGGGCCCAGGTGGCCTTTTTATCCTGGATCTCAAGGTGGCTCTGACCAGCTCATCATTTCCTGGCCTCCGTTTCCTGGTTGCTGAGACTTAAGTGATTTTAGAGAGGAAGGGAGAGGGAGAGAGAGAGAAACATCAATGATGAGAGAGAATCATTGATTGGAGGCCTCCTGCACGCCCCCTGCTGGTCATCGAGCCCACAACCCAGGCATTTGCCCTGGCCAGGAATGGAACTGTGACCTTCTGGTCCATGGGTTGACGCTCAGACCACTGAGCAACACCAGCCAAGGTGGGCTATTCTTTTACTACTAGAGGTCCAGTGCACGGCATCCTTTTCTCTTGCAGTCCGGGACCCTTGGGGGATGTCCACCTGCTGGCTTAGGCTCACTCACCAGGGGGATCAGGCCTAAGTTGGCAGCCAGACATCCCTCTGACAGCCTGGGAGCCCTCGGGGTGAGCAGGCCTAAGCCGCAGTTGGACATCCTTACCGTTGCCGAGGAGGCAGGCCAACTTGTGGCTGAGCAGCATTCCCCCTGTGGGAACACACTGACCACCAGGTGAGCGTCTGCCCCCTGGTGGTCAGTGTGCATCATAGCAACTGGTGGTTCTGCTATTCGGTCAATTTGCATACTACCCTCTTATTATATAGGATAACAAAACGAACAAGTGATAGATTCCCAAAGGTTAATTACTCTGTGGAATCTGAAACATCAATGTGCCTTTCCTACTCTGTTCCATTCAAATCTATTCTTTTAAAAAATATATTATTATTGATTTTAGAAAGAGAAGAAGGGAGAAGGAGAGAGAGAAATACAGAGAAACATTGATTGGCTGCCTCATACATGCACCCCAACCCGGGCTCCAAACTCACAACCTGAGTATGTGCCCTGACTGGGAATCAAACCAGTGACATTTCGGTGCATGGGATGACACTTAACCAACTGAGCCATACTGCCCATATATATGTATGCAGAGTAAGATGGGATATTTCTCTGCAACTTTCTCTTGTCACTTACTATATCTCAAATATTTTTCTTTCACCCATGCAAACTTTTTAATACCACACATTGGTCATTTGAAAAATATTGGATTCACGGAGTTATCCACATTTCATTATACAATGTGAAAAAACAACAACCCATGTTTGGTAATACCATTAATCTCATTAGAAACATCTTTAGGAATCAGGATGCTCTCACTCTAGCTGTTTTAGCTCAGTGGATAGAGTGTCAGCCTGGGGACTGAAGGGTCCTAGAGGTTCGATTCTGGTCAAGGGCACATACCTCAGTTGCAGGCTCCTTCCAAGCCCGGGCCCTGGTCAGGGCGCACACAGAGGCACAGGAGGCAACCAATCGATGTGTTACTCTCATATCAGTGTTTCTTTCTGTCTTCCCCTCTCTCTTACACTTTCT